CATTTTCAGGAAATTTAAAAATTCTCCAAATTTCCTGATTCATTTGGCATAAACACTCGGTGAGATTCGGTTTTACGTCTCCTAGCTTTGAATGTTGGGGCCGGGTCGCATTAGAGCGAATTCAAATATTTGCCAATTTTTCGCGAACCAAAAATTGGCAAAATTTTAGCAATACCTAAATTTTTGGCGGCGGTCGCATCAAACTAGTATCCTCTGACCAAAACTTCATTGATTGACACATTCGTCAATCACAAACCTGTCTCCCTACATTAAAAGATAAACAAAAATTCTCCCTTTAAATACTGGGCCAGAATGGATCGTCGTCGAATGATTATCTTGGTAAAACAACGTGGCGTTTTTTATATTGTTGGTACAATATCAGCAGGCTTCTATGCGGCTAGTATCAGCTTTTAGACGTAAAAGACGACGACTTTGCTTAAATAGAGCTCGCTTTCGAAACCGTCCTTGGTTGAGGTCTTTTCAGCGTCCGGCGGAGTCATGGTTCGAGATAGGGACCATGTATCGTACTTCGCTTTCTTTTATTCCGCTAATCTTTTTGGTTGCAGCTCGCACCGCTTTTGCTAGCTTCTATAATTCCAATGGAAGGAGAAGTACTCGTTGAAACCGATTGTTCTCCAAATTGCCGCCAGTGACCGGGCTTATGGTACGGGTCAGACATTCGAATTAAAAGGTCACTAAAACTCCTCGTTACCCTGAGGGTCAGATGGACAAGGAAAAAAAAATTGTGTCCTGCTATCGCGCGGATAGCTACACTAGCGGATCACAAGGTACTTCTCCCGCTTAAATATTATCTTAATATGTCTCGCGTACAATGACAGCTTAATGGTTAAAAAAACACGAGCCAGTAATTTGGTTTGCCAAAATTTGTAAGTCTCCGAGGCAGGACATCGGGCTCCTTTGAAGATTGGCGAAATTTTGGCGATCCGGAAAAAAGACGATTTTTTTTAAATTGGGGGTCGCACTTTTTTTACACCACTTTTTGACAGATTTTCCGCTTAAACAAACAAAAAAAAAGGTCTAGTGCGACTTGGGCCTTCCTTCGACGAAGCTTACAAGATGTAACCTGAGCTGTATACCATTGTTCTGATCTCTCTCTGAAAAGAAGCAAAGTGGAAAAAACAAAACAAAAACAGGGAGCGATTGTGCCTGAAACACACTTCATTCGGCTTCAGCCTTCGCAGATCTCCCGTGGAATAATTTACCGAGCCACATTATACAATATGCAAAATAAAGCTCAACATACTAAACAAAACAAGCACATAATGTAAAACCAATAAGCCAAAGCTACAAGAACACAAAAACTTAACTGAGCAAAACACGAATCGAAAATCTCTAACAAAGAAAAGGAGGTAACTAGTCCTGCCAACATTAAGCGCACAAAAGAAGCTTGCTAATTGCTTGCACCATATGTGCGAACTAATTACATAAACGGGAAAATAAACCTGCCGCTTCATTGGCGCTGTGAAGGAGCTGTATTTTGTGGATTCAATTCTAAGCCTTCTAAGAAAACACACGTTTGTTTATTAAGGGAAAAGTTAATGGAACATCACCGTGTGGAAATGACACAAGATCTGTTTGGTTATGCAGAAATTACAGTGCCTTTTGATGCGAAAAAATTTTAGAACTTCAATCCGGAAGTTCTAGTCAAATGGAATGCGCTTATGATCATGAGCCTCAACATTATCAATTTTTGTACAATCAAGACAACCATCATGCACCAAATAATTACCCCTCTATCCATGATAGTTCGACAGCTGTTATTAGAGTTATGAAAGGTACTTAGATTTTGCAATATACTTATCACGAGAAAACGCATAGTTTGCTTGTTTCTCTTTGGTTAAATCCTAAGCTCTGTACATGAGATGTTCCATATCTATACGTTCTTTCTTAAAAAAAAACAAACAAGAAATGAAGGCAAAGTTGAACTTATTTTATGCTTCGTTGTCCTAAGAAGGAATAAGCAGTAAATGGCTTTTTCATAAAGATGAAAGAGAGATGCTTTCATTGCATGTCTGAATGTCTGCAGAGCGCTCTTCCTACCCGTATTGTGTAGTAAATATAAGTATGTATTGCACAGAGGATATCAGATCTCTCTGACTCTCGCTCCTGCGCTTTAATTGCTTATCAGAGAAGTGCCATTTTAAAAGATGAAATTCTAAAAAGTTGTTTACTTTATATGAATGCGATTATTTGGGCAGATATGCCTCTTTAGTCTTCGCCTCATAAGCCATTTGTCTGAAAAAGCGGTATTTAAGCTCATCCATTGGTTGATAGGATACTGTTGTAAAGTTTCAGTGGTATAATCAAGCCTATCGAAAACTGTTAAATCAAGGCAATAATTTTCAAGTAATTCTGCCTTGCTAATCTAAATGATAAAATAAGATAAAACCTATCATGCCCTGCGGCTTCTTTTCATGCTTAAGGTGATGTGTTTCATTCAAAGTGTTGTGATGACGTAGTCTGCACTGTGTTACCGAACGTAGATCTTGGGATAGGCTGTTCCACACCTCAGCACCTTTGTTGGAGAACTTCTTTTCATATAGTTGGTGTAAGGATGTGGAATTCCTTAATCGGTAGGAAGTGTCGTTATTGCGAAACACAAATTGAAAACTTAGATATTCGGAGTCATTCTGTGAAGAGTCTTGAACATTATAATAGATGTGACTATTTAGCTTTTGAAGATTGAGTTTACACCAACTTAGTGCCAGAAACAAATCATCGATATCATTTTCATAGCTTGAATTCGAGCTGCGCGGTTTTGAAGCTTCAGCAATTTTTCAGAAAGGCCGAAACCGCAGCTGCCCCAAACAATCATTACTATGTAAATAGAATAAGCAAGTTCGAAGTGGGCCTCGCTCACCATATAGTCTTTACGGCTCGGTGGTAGAGCATTGGAGCGCGGAATCCGAAGGTCTGAAGTTCAATTCCTCACGGGAACTCAACGAAAATTATCTCAGTTTCTCTACAATAGTTACTGTGGTCGAACTAAACTATTGTACAAGTCTAACTGAGGAACCCCGTGTTTGCTGATACTCCAACCTTGTTGACGTTAAATCGTTTACCACGGTTTCGTAACTGATGCGTGTGAATCCCTCTGATTAATACAATATCAATACGTCTTTGTCTCTATTGAGACCAGGCGTCCGACTCTAAGTTGTTTACAACTGATCTGTTGTTGTTACTCAGGAGAAAATTATCAATTTAATACACTTGTATCAAAATACACCGCCTACGAAGTCAAATCAAAACAGAGATTCTCGTGAGAGATTGCGTCAAAGGGGTTTTAAGAAGATTTATGGGGTTCAATTTTTACCGATAATTATAATATCACTGATTTTATCTGACAGAGTTCAGTGATTTTGTGAAGAAAAGTTTATAAAGAAAGACACCTAAGGCCTGCATTAAGCTTAGATTCTGCAACAAATTAGCGAGAATGGAATCTTTAATCGCACAGTAACTACCCGTTGTGTACAATGGCTGAACGTGCTGATATTTGGCAGTCATGTAGATATCTCAACATATTCGCATAATTTTTATCAAAACTGGAAGTAATGTCGCAATAGATTGGCCAATTTACCACCAAAAGTACAGAAAACGCTGCTCGCGTCAACTTGTCACTTATCTCATAACGATATCGTGGTAAAATACATATCGTTGCGGCCGCGCCTCGCGAGTCCATAACGTTTTGACCACTGTGATGACGAATATTGATGTTGATTAGAATATAGAATATAGAATATATATTGCTAAACCAATGTCGATTTGTTCATGTTTTGTCCAGCATGGCTTTATAAAGCGTAAGTCATGCCTAAGTGATTCTTACAAAACGAGAAAGAAAATAGCCTTAGGTAATCGATTTATGCGTGTGAATCGCCTTTTAGAAGGAAACTAATTGGGTTGACGTTAAAGACTTCGAAACTCAATCAAAATTGGCTATTCGTTGCACTGTAAATTTAATTTGAATATTTACATCGAGGTGGGTTTTTTATTTTGAAGGTACACTATAAATAAGGTTTTTTCCGAGGGGAATTTGTTGAAACTAAAACTTACCCATTGTTATTATATTAATTGATAAATCAACAGAATTCGCCGATCATAATTCAAATACGACCATCCTATCAGTGTGGCTAGGATCACATTGTGTCCTCGTCAATATTTCTCTAGATGGTATGTACGAAGTGTGGGAAGGACACTGCCAGACTTGTCGTTCTTAACTCCCCTTAAATTCTGATTGTCATCAAGGAATTAATAACCTTAATCATATAAATTATATTGAGCACACTGTTCCCATGTTAAATACAACCTGATATAATTTGCACCCCTATAACATTACTTGTCGTGCATTGCTAGTTTGTTGCATATAAACAGACATACTCTCATTAACGTGAATTTCAAATCGCTGATTTATTTATATTTTTGTCCTTTACCAATACACTCTAAACCTCTAAAAAAGGCGCACGAGAGACAAAATTTCTCTGACGTGCAGCTAAATGGCTCGAACAACTAATATGTAAATAAAACGTGTCTAATTGTCTACGTCAAGGACATTTTAAATATTACAAAGCAGACTCTAGCTGGGAGTGGAAGTCAAGATTAATAAACGTAACACTGTTTTTTCTTGCCGTTGAATGAACAGATTGCAGCTGAACCGCCACAGCACTCTCTGGAATCGTTACACTCGGCCCAATTTGGTTTGCATGGTTTCCTGCGGACCAACACCCAGTCGCGGAAAAATGCGTCAGCTTCATCAATCTGCCTCGGAGCTGGCTCCACCAAAATGACACAAATTGTCAACAGAAACACGGCAAACAAAGAGCATTTCATACCTGTGAATTAAAAACTCCTTGATCACAAAATCGGTTCAACTAGGTGAAATCTCAGAAACCACAATAAAAGAAATGTAAAATATACCATAAATACCAAATGAATAATTTTAAGGGTCGCAAATTGTAAACTGACATAGAAGTCGCATGGGAAATATTTCGATATCAACCACAAACATATATCCATTGAAAGTCATACAATTCCAAGGTAAGACATAACTAATGCATGGTATTCATTAACTAACCATCAATATTTAGTTAATCAAAATCTAGTTCACTGCTTTATCATCCATAGGTGAATTTAGGCCTCTCCGGATTAGACTCGGAAAATGCTGAAAAGTTGCTCACTGGAATGCCAAAGAGTTGCTTTCTAAATTTAAAAACACCCCACCTTAGATTTCATAATTCAAGGCCTGCTTTACTGGAATAACTAAAGATGTAGGATACAATTTTGCTCACCCAAACTGTTTCCCACAGTTTAATGGCAGAGCATTCAAACTCCTCTCAGGAGACCTTCTTTAGTTCAGAAATTGCTCGAGGTCACCTCAGGTAGTTCATAATTTTGTTGATAGGAAATGTAGGTAAAAGTATTTAACCTTAAAGCTCTAGTTACCTTAAGCTAGATTCAGAAAGTCGTGCGGTGAATTACTTTTCCACTGAGGTCTTCCTTTCCCGACAACGGCAGCGCTTATATGATCAACTCCAATCAATCCCTCCTTTAAACAGTCCGCTAATTGAGATATAAAGTTTCAAAAACAACGCCTGTTGGTGGTATTTTAATTGCCTCCATTAATTTAGAGCTTAAGGGAATTTATCCTCATTAGTGATTGATATGTTTCGAAAACACCTACGCAGATGTTGGTAGGAAATCATTCTACAATTCAGTACACGTCATCCATCCGACATGAGAGAAACTGCATATATATTCCCCCCTCCCTCCCCCAAAGAAAAATCGATCAAACAAGATTTAAAATCAAATTTCAGTGAGATAGATGGTATAATTTGAAGATTGGGGGGGAATAAATAAATACTTTCCAAGTAGTCAGTATTACCGCAGTGATCTTATCATTTTCCAAGGCGTGTCTAAGTTTAGTCATTAATAAACAACAATTGAAGGCGTAAAAATCCACCGCAAACCACCGAAACTGAGTGAAGATAACACAGCACAAAAAGAATATTTTAAGTAACTTATGCCTGCAATAATTTCAAAAATTTCGGGTAAAAATCCCACCCAAGTCTCTCGAAGGTGAATAGCAAAGGGCTTTCGGTGTTTGAGTAACCAATCAGAGCGAGCGTTTAATGCTAACAACTTTTTAAGTAAAATACTGAATTAGAATATTCTACATTTAAAACAAGCACACCTCAGGTTTTATTTAGCCTGAATTGTGCAATATCATTACGATTATCATCATCATGATCATCAAATGTAATCTGATCTTAACGAGATAAGCATCTCATAAAGCTCACTGAAAAGATTACTCGTCTGCCCACAAATATAGAGCTTTTGTTTAAGTTATTTAGTTATTGCAATAGCCTTATGACGAAAACTTGTATGGTTTTATCTGTTTGTTTTTCTTTTGTTTTTTTTATTGATCCTTAGACTCTATACATAGCTGCTCTATGGTTTTATATTTCCCTTCAAAAAGATACCAGCAAACAGAAGTAAAATGGAAGACATTTTAGGCTTCGTTGTGCCTCAATCAAGGCTGGTTGTCTGCTTGACGCTCTTCTCACCGGCATCAGTGGAGTAAACATAAATGCATATTCAAAAGGAGATGTCAGATTTCTCTGACTCTTCCATCTGTACGTGTATCACTTAAAGAAGTTTTTTTTGGCCAAAGTTAAACCGGGAGTCAAACCAAACTGATTAAATATGTGGTAAATTGTGATCACGCCTCATAGATTTACAAATCACGCTCGCCTTCTTGTAAAATGCACATTTCAAAATGGGCTGTAGATTTCATTTGACCATTTACATTGAGGCGGGTTTTATATTTTGAAGTTACACTATAACTAAGGTTTTTTCCGATGATAGTTTGTTGAAATTAAAACTTACCCATTGATATTATATTAATTGATAAACAATAGAATTCGCAAATCATAATTTAAATACGGCCATCCTATCAGTGTGGCTAGTATCATATTGTGTCTTCGTTAATATTTCTCCTGATGACATGTACGAAGTGTGGGAAGGAAGCTGCCAGATTTGTTGTTCTTAATTTCCCACATTCCCTTGCAAAGGAAAAACATATGTAAGGGTATTCTTCAACCGCTGGTGATTGATAATCATAACTTGGCAACATGCGGCTTTCTGCGTACCACCCCAGTGGTGGAAGGGAAGGATAGAGGGGAAAGACGGCAATAAATTTAAAAGGTTAAACATAGTTTATAGGTTTTTTCAGGTTCGGGGTGTTCTTGGACAAAATGAAGTAGATGAAGAGAAACCGATAGGGTCTATCGAAAAATTATGGCATGTCGTGATACTGGATCAGGATGTATCTTACAGGCTGATATATTCATGGTTAGAATTTGCACTTCAAGAACTCACTGCTCCTGTTGCAATTAATCGCTTTTTTATCTGATAAACCAGTGGTATATCATCATTAACGAACACTTCATTAATGGGATGACCACAAGAAGAGGATAATTCACTCAGTTTAGCTTAAGCAAAAGTATCCAATGCAACAATACTACTTACCTTGGTTAGCTTTAGAAAGTTGTAAAGCAAATTATTCAATCGCCCATTGAAGTCACAAAATCGCCTGCAGAAGCAAACAATTCAACACAATCGCCCTTTGGAGCAAATAGTCAAGAAAATCACCCGTTCAGGGAAACGTTTCAACTCAATCGCGCGCAAACGTAAACAAGTCAAACAAAGCACCTTTAGAGGCCAAACCTATGTTACCGGCAAATTAGTCACCTATTACGTGACAAATACTGATCTACCATTAGAGCCCGTTGAGGCACAAATCAATGCAAATGAAAACATGTTAACGCCGCAGAGGCTATTTGCCTTTACTATCAATGTATGGTTGTGTAAATAAAGCTTTTTTATCGTTGTTGTTGTATTTCGTTCGTCACCTCGCAGCACTTAATTTGCTATTAGCAACCCCTAATTGATAAAATTATTAAGAGAATTTTTTTTTGTGGCGGCACATCTTTGACTTATGGCACCTTACAACACTTTGCGGGGGACTTCGCCGGACTTCATTGATGAATTTTACAAATTTTTGAAAGGAATTTTGTTGATAAGCGGCCAATGTCGGGAAGTAGGTCAGACCACAACAGTAAGAGCTTTGTTGCCTAATCTTTGCGAGATTTGCTTGAGTTCTCTTGTTAACCAGTACACGAAAGGTGCAGGAAAGAGAGCCCGGTTTAAACCTTGATGGGGTGAGGGAGAGAGCAGATAGAAACATATTTGCTAAAGTCGTAAATGTAACTCCAGTGGTCCTATCTTTGTAAAAGGTATGTCGAAGCTTAGTCATAAAAGTGGATTAATCTACATTTGAAACAAACATACCAGATAATTTATTGTGTCTAGATCATTCAACATTATCGGGCACGGTTGAAGATTGAATAGAACAAAGAAGTTCCAGAAATTATTTTCTATTATTCTGCAAAGCTCTGGGGGTTGTCGATTTTCCGTAAATTTAAAAATTCTTCTACGTCATTTGGCATTTCTACTCGGTTACATTCCGTCCTAAGCAAACAGTCTTATACAATTAACACAAACATTTCATTAAGAACCACATCACTAACTTTCTTTACATAAAAGCTTAACTACTTGAATTTCCAAAATATGCGCTCAAAATGTTTCCTCTCGATGCTGATGTCGCATGATTGTTTTTTTTTTTCATTATTTAAACGAACGCAGCGTTCCTCCTTCTTTTGAACTGTTGCTTTAGAAATCGAATTTAGAAAATCATGCAGACGCTGTTTCCAGGTTCTCGACAGCGCCAATGAAATGGCACGTGCATTGTCATATTAGGTCGAATGACGGGAGCGATTAGGAAGCTTATTTCTCTATATAAACGTAGATGAAGTCACCAGGATTTCCTAATTGCCCTCTTTTAAGCTTTTCGTTTTTGCTTAGTTTAGTTTTTTTGTGCCTTCTTGGAAGTTATTTAAATTAGTCTTGTACTGTGTCCTTCTTTAGTTTCATGATTATGTTAGTTTATATTTTGTACATAAAACTTGGCTTGGCTGATTGTTGTTCGGTACTTCAGCAATGGTTAAGGTCGAGTGTTACCGCTTAGCTACTTTTCACAGAGACAAACCATTCCAAATTGTCCACCATAAAGAAATCAACTGAACAATGCATGGTACTTTCTTGTAAGCTTTGTCGAGGCGACATTCACAGCTGGGAGACGTGGGGCGAAATCTCACCGAGTAGAAAAGGCAAATGAAGCACAATAATTTAAAAATTTACGGAAAATTAAAATCTCTCAGAGATTGGTAGAATAACCGAAGATAGTTTTCGGAACCTCTTTGTTCTATCTCATCTTCAACCGGAACTTTCGGAAATTTCAATCGAATGAAACGTGCCTAATAATGTCGTTAAAGATAATGTCGCTTAAGACTCAATGAATATTATGGTGTGTTTGTTTCGATTGTAGTTTAATCCACACTAATGACTTATTTTATAAGATACGCTGTTCACGAAATCAAATCTTCTTTAAAATTATCTATTGTATACAACATCGCCCCGTGACAATTACATTGAAAGGATAAAAGAAGATCTATAGCCAAAGTTTATTGGGGAGCCGGCCAAACCGAACTGAACAGATACGTGCTAAATTGGAATCTTTAACCAGAGGTTTCAGTGATTTTTTTAGGATATTTAACGGAGGGAAACAACGCAGGATATAGCGAGCTTAGATTATGCAACAAATTAGCAGAATAGGCATCTTAGAAAGCTATGCAACTACCCGTCTGTCCACATTAGCTAAACGTGCTGGTATTTCACGGTAATCGTAGAGGTGACTAGGTTAAGTGATTTTCTTAAGTGATTTTCTTTTTCTTAATATGATATCATTTTAAAAATTTCTTGTTTATTTAAAGAAGGAAACACCACAGAATATAGTGAGCTTGGATTATGCAGCAAATTTGTGGAATAGGCACCTTAGAAAGCTAGACAACTACCCGTCTCTTACGTTGTTTAAACATGCTGGTATCTTGCAGTAATCTTAGGGTTGACTGGGCTCAGTGATCTTCTCCTTTTAATATGAAACTATTTTCAAAAATCGCTTGTTTCTCCATAGAACCAGACGACCATACTTAAGTTGTTTACGACTCATCCGACGTGTTTACTCAAGAGGAACATTATAAAGCCGACACGTTTACAAGATACACTGTTCACGAAATCAAATCTTCTTTAAAATTATCTATTGTATACAATATTTTCCCGTGACAATCGCGCTGAAAGGATAAAAGATGTCTGACGGCCAAAGTTTATTGGGGAAACCGAAATGATCAGATATGTGCTAAATTGGGATCTATAACCGGAGCAGCACTGATCGTTTCTCAGGGTTGACTGGTTTCAGTAATTTTTTTAGGATATTTAACGGAGGAAACACCACAGAATATAGTGAGCTTGGATTATGCAGCAAATTTGCAGAAAAGGCATCTTAGAAAGCTAGGTAACTACCCGTTTGTCCACATTGGCTAAACGTGCTGGTATTTCACTGTAATCTTAGTGGTGGCTGGGTTCAGTGATTTTCTTCGGTGATTTTCTTCTTCTTAATTTGAGTTACTTTCAAAAATCGCTTGTTTCTTTAGAGAACCAGACGACAATGCTTAAGTTGTTTATAACTCATCCGAAGTATTTACTCGAAAGGAACATTGTGAGGCCGACTTGTTTAGAAGATACACAGTTGATGAAATCAGATCCTCTTTAAAAATTATCTATCATATCTAATATTTGCCCGTGACAATCGCACTGAAAAGATAAAAGAAGACTTATAACCAAAGTTTATCAGGGAACCGGCCAAACCGAAATGAACAGATACGTGCTATATTCAGTGATTTTCTTCTTCTTAATTTGAAATTATTTTCAAAAATCGCTTGTTTCTATTATTAAAGAAACAGACGACCATGCTTAAGTTGTTTACTACTCATTCGACGTGTATACTCGATAAGAACATTATGAATCCCACATGTTTAGAAGATACACAGTTGACGGAATCACATCTTTAAAAACTACCTATTGTATAACAGAAAAGCACTGATCGTTTCTCAGGGTTGACATGTTTCAGTAATTTTTTTTAGGATATTTAACAGAAAAAACACCACAGAATATAGTGGGCTTGGATTATGCAACAAATTTGTGGAACAGGCATCTTAGAAAGCTAAGCAACTACCCGTCTGTCCATGTTGGCTAAACGTGCTGGTATCTTGCAGTAATCTTAGACTGGGTTCAGTGATTTTTCTTTAGAATATTTAATGGAGAAAACACCAGAGAATGTATCGAGCTTGGATAATGCAACAAATTAGCGGAATAAGCATATCAAACCCTCAAGCAACCATGCATCCAGTGTTTACGCTGGCCCGTCTGTCTACATTGACTGAACATGCTGGTATTTCGCAGTAATCTTAGGGATGACTGAGTTCAGTGATTTTTCCATCAACATAAGTGAAATCAAAGGAAATCACGCAACAAATTAGCAGAGTATGCATATCAAATTCCTTGACAACTACGTGTCTAGTGTCTACACTGGCTTGATGTGCATGTTTCTACGCAGTCATCTAGATGTTTTATGCAACCCCTGTAAAAATTCTCCACTGTATTTTTCATCTTGTACATTCAAATATTCATTTATTGGGTTTCTTATGACCATCATCACCGACACTCCGCACTTCGTGTTTCTTCCCTAAATATATATAATAACCGTGGCTAAATTAGGTTAACTGTGCCTACGTGGTTTTTCCAAATTAAAATATAAGGGCAAATGCTCTTTGCTGGTCTAAATATCTGTTTCGCTCCTACCCATCTGCATCAAAAATATTTACTCCAGTATTACATGCATTGTAGGGGGCTGTCAGAATAATGTAACTTTTGATTCTGCAAATCGTGTTTTAGAGGAGAGAAACTAACACCCCATCCACACCAGCAAAACATGTTTACATACACCGGGTTTAACTGAATGAAAATCAGAAACAGAGAACTGAAAAGCTGAGTTTTACACTCGTTTCAAGTAGTCACTAACTTCTATTTTCAATGTGCTAAATTTGAAGTCGACAAACATCGGTTTAAATAGCTACTATAAAGAATAAAATTTTTAAACGTGTTTAACAAAACAGCTTTAGAACATGTTTAAGCTTTGCTGTGAATGAGGTGTAGGAGAGTCGATGATTTGCTTTGAGACTAAACTTAACATACAGCGTTAGACTGTGGCCTTCATTAGGTCATTAATAGAAGGATGGTTCTAATTTGGAGGTTCCATTTCAAATAAGGAAATTTCCATGCGGGATATTCCTTGAAATCAGGCTTATTATTTTCCCTCGGAGGTGATACCAATTCATGGAGTAACAGTCTGTTGTGGAAAGGTGGCTGAGGCTCATCGTTTTGCGTCGGAGCTGACACCCTGTCACGGACTAACAGCCTGTTGTGAAAAGGTGGACGAGGCTTATCATTTTTCGTCGGAGCTGACTCCACCAAAATGACACAGATGGTCAGCAGACACACAGCAAACAAGTAACCCTTCATGTCTGTGTAATAAAATAAATTGTGTTCATAAAATTGAATCAACATAGATCAAAGAAGAAGAAACACTTTCAATTTTTGCGTCCAGTGGCTTACACCTTGAAGCCAAACAGCTATGTTCCGCAAATACGTACGTATATTTGCATCCTGTTTTATTTTGTTATTGTGCATCGCTTCAGAAAAACTGTAATCACTTTTTAACTAATTATCGTCAATGTCATCGACATCATCTTATCAAGATAAGCAACTGATTGATAACCAAGCAATTAATTGGAAAATCTTATTCATAAATCCTTAGTCATGTTGTAAGCGTAAGATGTTCCACAATTATAAATTTTATCCTTTAAAAACCAGAAAACTGTTGTGATAATGTCTCGGGCCCCTCCACCTACAGCAATGAATGGCGCAGTGCTCGATTCGCTTGGGCCTATTAAAGAAATGATTGCTTTCTTTCTTGAGGCATTTCGGCTTAAATTTACACAAGCATCAACAGTCAAAAGTTTGTAAACAAGTCCTGCAGCTTCTGAAAAGTTTTTACAGTAATCTCTTACGTCATATCCTAGGGTAATGTTAGAAAGAAGACTTGTGTCGTTGTTTATTCGTTCGATTGCGAAGATCATGGCCTGCGTCTGACTAAGTTCTCTCAAATTTATCTCTCCACATTGGCTCCCTGGCATGTCTGGCGGCTGGTGCACGCTGAAAAGTCCGCCCAACATGATATCGCCTTCTCTGTATGGAGCCTGAACAGCAGCATAGAAGCAGAAGAAAAGAAACAACTGGTAGTGCAACGAACTCATAGCATTACTCTTCTTTCTCCGCTTACTTGTTGGTGAACCCAACGCATAGACATTAGTTATTGGTACATACGTGTATTTTGCAGATAAGGTGGTGATCAGTAACTTTTTATGTTAATTTCAATTTAGAAACCTGAAGTGTTACTCTACAAACAACAGCCAATCGTTATCACTTGCGAGCTTCTGGCTCGCTGGTTTAATTTATAAACTATAAATTAATGGTGACCACATTTTAGGGGTGTATGAATTTAAAACGTTCTCGGACATTGTAAAGCTAGCTTGGTGACAAAACAAATTAAAACCGTTGCTCTTAAGTTTTCATTTTCTCTTGCTTTTTTTCTCTCTCTCCCTCTCAATTTTTT